CCCCCCCCCCTCCTTTGAATTGTGTTTTTTAAATCGTATTTTCTACATACTATTTATTACTTTTTGAAATTTGAAAATTTATTGATAACCGCAAACTTCAGGATATAAGTTTGACCTTGACAATCACGTTCCAGACAACCATTTTATTAAACGATTCATCGCATCCGCCCATAATTACACTTTTATTTTTGATTTTCTTAAGTTTTTAACCACGAACAAATGTTTAATATTGATACCAGGCCCTTTGTTCAAATCATGACGCGTTCCTGAAGATGACTCTATGTTGAGTCGAAACCGGTAGAACATAAATATAACAATTATCCATTAAAAAAGTGCAACTCTTTATTTTATTTTGATACGAATGATGGAAACAAATAATAATTACACCAATAGGTATAAATTAGTTCAATTCATTTTTTTTCTTTTATTTTGCGACAGGATTTTGTTTCTTTTGATCAAAAACATCAACAAAAAAAAATCTTAGCTGTTCCTAAATTCACACAACAACGACACATGATATTTACCTATATTTACATTAGTATTCAAATCTACAAGTTCATAAGTATTATCATTTTTATTTATCACTTGATAAGGTCCTTCGTAAGTTTTCATTAATTTGGCTACTATCTTTCTACGTTTATCTGTTATCCTTCAATAATTTGTTGTTCTAATAATTTATTAATTTCAAAGTTAACTTGTTCTCTATAATGGAATGGTATCGGATAATGTTTACTATTTAACGGTTGATTATCATCAATTAGTATCTTATGTTCATAATTTCTTGCAAAAGTTATTTTATCATTATAAGTAATAGAATTTTCCAACATTATACTTTTTAACTTTTCTTTATATTCTTTTCCTAATTCTAATTCTTCAAACAAACATTCTATATATTTCTCTTTATTATCTTCTGTAACAATCTCATTTTTTAACTTCTCCTCCCGCCCTTCCAATTTTATAAACTCATCACTTATTCCATAATCATTTAATTCATAATCATCCAATTCATAATCATTTCTTCCCTTTTCATATACTTCTCGTTTATTAACATTATTTATCTTTCTTTTACCTTTCTCTTTTTCTTCATTCCTTTCTATCTTTTCTCTCTTTTCATTATTACCTTTATTTTTCTTACTCCTTTCTTCTATTAAAAAATTTCCATATAGATGATCTTAATCAAACTTTATTTGATTATCTTCTAATTCTAATTGATTCTGTTCAAAGTTTAAAATCATTTCTAATTTTCTAATATTGTCGATACCAATTAAACAATCGTAAGTTATTCCTTCGAACAAGTAAAATTCCATCAAGTAATTTTTAATATTTATTTCTACAAACGTAGAGAGTTTATTAGTTATTTGTCCCATTTTTCTCTTATTTACTGAATATATTTCAATCTTTTTAATTTTTTCTAACATTTTATCTAAATCACTGAATTTGGATACTATATCTGTGTGTATCAAGGAAATTTCTGCTGCTGTATCAATAATGGCTTTAATTTTAATCTTTTGGATCATAATTGTAACGCTAGGGATTAGGTTATAATTCTTAAAATTGTCTTCATTGGAAAAATCTAAAAAATTATGTGGATTATCGTAAAATTTTTGTTTATATTTAGAAGTAATAAAATGATTTAATTTATACGTAGTGATAGCCTCATCTGTTTCGTTTCTCTGTTTTACCATTCTGAATCTGAAATTTTTTTTTTCTCTTCACCATTTCCTGAACGGCGAACGTCTGCTACAATTTCGTCATGTTTAAAATTTCTGTTGTTTTCATCACCTCTTTTGTACCATCTTCTATCAAAACTTTCTCGAGTGACTAAGTTTACCTGATTCGTTTTATTGTTATTCGGTGGATTATTTCCAAAGGTTTGGCCGTTGTAATGATTTCCCCATCGTGGATAATGATATTCATTTCTGTCCGATCTATTGTAGTTACCTTTTCCGTTATTATAATTATTATTGTTATTATGGTGGTTTCTGTAATTCCTATAGTCATTTTCGTTTTGGTTAGTTTTATTGTAGCCGTTTCCGTTTTGTTTTTCTCTGTGGTAATTATTGTAATCGTTAAATTTATAATAGTTGTTATCATTTAGGTTAGATTTGTATCTATAATTATTATCATTTTTAAATTGTACATAGTTTTGATCTGTTCTAGCTTTATAATTATTATATTGTTCTCTTCGATTCATCACCGAATATGTATCTAACCTTCGTAAGATTTCCATTAATTCTTCTATTGTATTTATATTTTGGCATAAAATGGTACTATTGTCTGACATGGTAAAATGGTTTAATAAATATAATACTATGTTTCTTTCTTCTAGGTCTTTAATATGCTTACATTTGTTATATAATTCACATGCATAGTTCTCTCTATTCTTTAACCCTTCTCGATATTTCCCAGTTAGTAATTCGATTCGAAGTTTGTCCTGTTGACTTCTACTCCAATATTGGTGTACGAATTCTCTCTTAAATTCTTCGGCGTTTTGGCATTTATCAGAGACCATTTCAAACCATTCTAAAGCTTTCTCTGTTAATGTAAGTCTGATAAGGTTCATGACCGTTTTATTATCGTCGATATCTTGCGTCAAGCGTATTATATTATTTAAATATGTCATAGGATGTAATTGATTAAAATTGCCATTAAATTTTTGCCACATTTCAGGTTTTATTATTGAGCACGGTAATGTTGATTCTAAATTTATTGAATTCATATTTTTCAGTTTAAGTTCCCTTATTTCTTTTTTTAAATTTTCTAACTCCCTTAATTCTTTTTCTTGTAGAAAACCCATATTTTCTATCATCCTCTCTTTTAAATTTTCTGTTTGTTCTTTAATTTTTAATACATTCTCTCCGTTGTTAGAAATTCCCTTATCCAACTGTTTTATAGATTGTTCTATTAACTTTTGTTTTTCGTTGTAATTGTCCATTTCTTTTTGTATCAAACTTAATTCGTTGTTTGTCTTCATCTGACTATTATGTAAGTGTGTAATATTTTCATTGGTTATTAATCTAAATTCCTCAAGTTTTTTGTCTTGTTGTTCTGTTACTTCGTTTATTTTTTCTTGAACAATTATTTCATTATCTATCCTTTTCTTTTTTAATTCTGCATTGTCGCTCCACAATTTAGTTAAGTTAATATTCATACATTCAAGTCGTTCAGTTATCACTTTTTGACCTTCCATAAATCTCTTTTGATTTTCTTCATTTCTGTTGTTAATTTCTTCTAAAATTCTTTGTTCTTTTTCTTCATTTATTTTTCGATTTTCTTCATTTCTGTTGTTAATTCCTTCTAAAATTCTTTGTTCTTTTTCTTCATTTATTTTTCGATTTTCTTCATTTAATTTTTGTAATTTTTCATCGATTCTTTTTTGATTCTCTTCATTTATTCTCCTATTTTCTTCCATAAATTTAATCATCATCTCCTCTATAGACGTACCTTTACTTGTTTGTTCTTCCTCTTTTTTATGTTTAGATGTTGAAGGTTTCGGTGTTGTTTCTTCACCTGTGTCTCCGATGTCATGAGTTCCCGTTGTGGTTCTACTCAAAGATCTTTCTTCCCTCTCTATTTCGTCAGTTTTTGATAAAGTTCTTCCCCTAGTCTTTCTCTCGGACATATTTATTGATTTATTTTTTAGTTTTAATTAATATAGTTTTTTACTCTAAGGATAACGATTGTATTATTAAATTGTCTTTTGAATTGCCCCACGTCGTTGGGCGCCAAATTGTATTGATAACGATTGTCAGTGAAGTATTTATAAGATAATGTTCGTTTTCAGGGTTCACTTGTGTGAGTTCAGTTCAAAAGACAAATTTGTTTAAGGTTAAAAAAAATGATAATAATTTAATAAATTATTTAATTAATTACTTAATAAAGGTTTAATTTTATATCATGTATCAAGAATAGATGTTGTGTTAAATCGGACTGAATATACTAAATATTGAATAATCTAATAGACAAAAAAAAATTAAATTAAGTCTTCAAATTCAAATTGATAGTGAACATTAAAAAAAAACATCAAAGACTTATCGTAATTAATTTGTTTCGTCTCTATCTCGCTCTGACTGGCCGTCTCTTTCTATCTTGGCTTCAATGTCCGAATCCTTTAATTCATTTGCTAAATTCTCGGTGTTTCCTCACTCTCACACTAGATGTCAATTCCAATCAATCGTTTAAGTTTTCTTCTTCCGGGTTTTTCTTTATTTTGTTTACTGTTTCTAAGGTTAATGTTTTAAAGGTTCACTTCGAATCCCCAAATAATTCCATTCACTTGGTTAATTATTTTTTTAGAGTTCTAGTTTTTTTTTTAATAATTCAAATTCACTTTAGTTATTTCTTCTTCTTACTTTTGGTATCGGGTTATGTTTTTTCTTTAGTAGCTTTTCATTATCGAACTCGTTCACAAAAAACGATGCTTCTAGGTAGTCTTCTTCTACCGTTCAACTCTAATTTTTTTTAATGTTATTTTTTTTATCACAATGCCTAGCGACCAAGTTCTGGCAATCTTAGATTATTCCAAAAATAATTCAAATTTATTTTTACAAGATACGTCTTTATCATTATGGGTAAATTTTGAAAATAAGATTTTTGGAATGGATATGGATCAGATATTCGTATCAGTCCGAATTACTACAGTATTTACTCAGTAAATTCAAATAACAAAATATAATTTATGGTTGATTGTTCCTTCCTGCATAAATTCGTTGTAGTTGCCACGGCACGCTTCCTTGATTTGACACAAAGTATTCTTTAAATTGGTCTCTGATATTCAATGCATCTTTCTGAAAGTTTCCTCCTGTGTTTGCTAACCTAGTAACACCTTCGACCATTACTTCCTGTTCTAATTAGCCTGGCTGCCAAGTACAAGAATCATTACGCAAATAATTATGCAGAGCAGTGCAAGCTCTGCATAAAATGCTATTAAATTTTTTCAAGAAAATTCGAAACTTTTTAGTCATTATACCAAAAGCATTCTCGCTAACCCGTCTGGCTCTACTATGCCGATAATTATAAATTTTGATAGCTTCGTTATTCAGCATCTGCGTTCCTGGATAAGGTCTCATTACGTTGGGCATTAAGGGAAATGCCTCATCTCCAACAATTACGTGTGGCAGAACTGTATTTGTCTCAGGTAGTTTTTTATCTGCTGGGAGAAGTAATTGTTGCGACATCAGTGTTTTTCCTAGTTGTGAAGAACGAAAAATACCTCCATCACTATTGCGCCCATACGCCCCAACATCTACAGTGATGAAACGGTAGTCAGCATCCACTAATGCAAGTAGAACAATGCTAAATTCCTTTTTATAATTATAAAAAAGAGATCCTGAATTCAGTAGTTGAATTCTGAACAACGTGTTTGTCATCAATGGCACCCACGCAGTTTGGGTAATTCCATTTATTTCTAAACCCCTCTTCTATGCTCTGCCAGTGTTCAGTTGTTGGAGCAGGCATTACAATAGGTGCTAATGTTGACCATATTTTTTCACATGTGTCGTAAATAATCGTTGAATCGTTAAATAATCTCACAGTTGTTTCCCCTAATCTATAACTGAAAGATATTGACGAAAAAGAGTCCCCATAGCCCAGAAACCTAAAAATAAAGAAAATATTTTTACTGTACCAGTCAAAAATAATATTTTTTTATTACTATTCTTAATGCCACATTAATTTTGTTTACTGCAATATTGTCACATTACGCACATTGTCAAGTAATCAAGGCTAATGTGGCATTCTGCATATAACAGATTTTATTAGTAATGTTATTTTAGTAAACGACTGCAAATAAAGATTCTTCGAGACAGCTTTAGAAAGACTTTAAAAAGTAGGCAGACAAAGAGTGGAGATGCCACTATCCCGGTCAAAAAGTGGAAGTTCGAGGAGACAATCTCATTTCTGATCCCATATTTTGGCGAACGGAGTCAGAAGTCAAATTTACAAAAAACTTCAACCCAACAAATTAGTACTATTGAATTAGATGACGAAAGTACTTCAGAGGAACTTACTTCGCCAGAACCGCGGCCACCTTCTCGTGACTTGTCTCCACCACCAACTCCTACCTCATCTTATTCATCAAGAAATACACCGATGACGCAGGTGTTACAAAATTATTTTAAAGATAAGCAGGCCTCGAGATTGAAAAAGAAAACACCCGATCATTTAAAAAATTTTTGTCTGCATTGAGGAAACAGTCCGCACGTTTTCACCGCGGTTACAGATTGATATTAAAAATAAAATTTCAAATTTGGTAAGTCAATAGGAACTAAAAAATTTTACCGGACAAAATACGCCCGCGCCAACACATTCCCAACCACTTCCGAACATTTCACCACAGCTGCCTCGCTTTCACTCAACTCCACAAATGTGTATAGATCCTGACAACCCACCCCCCTTTCCTTCGTTTCCCACTGACAACCCCCGTACCCCACCTTCCTTCGGTCCCACTACTCCAATTACACTCAATTACCGAATTCGCAGTTCAGTTACGAACAAAGGAAGGAATAAAATTAATTATATATACTATTATTATTATAGCAAAGTAAATAAAATAAATATTGTATTTTACTTGGCGCTTTAATTACTATACAATACCACAGACTATTTATACATATACATAGGTACTTACTTCAATGTTACAGCTAATCTCTCTTCAGGTGAAATTGATTTCCGAAAATTAGTGTCCTGCATTTTAAGCGGTAATATATGCACAAGTTCGTAAAAGTTAACACTAGACATCCTAAAATTTTTAAAAAAAATTTCGTCATCCTTGAGTAGATCAGGGAACAAATGGTAAAATTCCCCATACACTTCTTGTTTAAGATGTATGTCATGCACCCAAATTCTGCGAGGTGGTTTTTCGATTTCATCGCAAGCCAATGCTATCATAATATCTTCTTCTGAAGAACTCGACGACGAACTTGAAGACATGTTGCTGTTGTCTTTACTAGCGATTGTTTGGTAGTGAACGTCGGGCGTTGCCTGAAATGTCGATTCCCGTCGATTCAGTGAGCGGTGGTCGCTGCCGAACCGAACGTTCCGTGCCGGCCGTGCTGAGCCGAACCGATTCAGTGGGCGTCCTGCTTTACTCTGGTTCCGCGACGTGTTCGGGCTGTTGATATCACCATCTGTCAGAACGGCAAACGCGTTATAGCGTAGTAGTAACATGCTTCTATCGAGCACATCGATGTGCCGCAACTTAACGATAGTGGTTGAATGAAAGGCCAATGTAAGATTTGTCCGACTAAAACTCAACCAGTAGTGTAGAGCGTTTATCGCTATGTAAAATTGTAATTTATATAAAAAAACAAAAATTTGTTAATGTAAAAGGGCGTTTCCTGTTAATCTGTATTGTTTAAAATTTTTATTTAACATTTTCTATCATTTTAAAGAATGAAATAGATTTTATTTATTTACCCGTATTTAAAGCGATATTTTTTGAGCGATATGGATCATGCACAGAATACTAGATCTAAAAATTACATGTCTGTGCGGTTGACTCGTGTGCGTAAAACAGTCGGACAGCGATCCTTCAGGTATTTTTCCCCTAAAATATATAATAAGTTTATGAGATATGCACTTGAAAATGGTTTGTCATTGGGTCCAACCAACCTTAAATCTTCAATCAGAGCATGGCTTCAAACTATTAAGGGCACAAACCTCTCAGCCATTTTGGATTTAACTTGATTTGAGTGATTTTTTGTTTTTTGTTTTCCATATATATATGTATATATATATATATATATATATATATATATATATATACGTATTTATGTTTCTTAATTGATAAAATATAAAAATATTATCATTTTGGTTTTGTTTTTCTAAAGTATTTAAACTATTTAATTAATCAGTGCGTGCTGGCGTTGTAAATTGTAAAACCACGCGCAACACTGCTATACAGCAGAGTTAGTGGTGTATATCTTGTGCACTCAACATGCCAGTCTAATTTATTATATTTAATGGTAAAAGTTTTGTTTTGCTTTTTTTTTTATTTTCTTCGTTTTTGCTTTGAGTTGCATGAGATGCTCCTTTTGTTGTATTAGTGTAAAATATAAAATGTTAAATGTAGAAATAAAGGGCTATAATAATAAAGTCTGAGTTAATATACGAAAATCTACAAGAAAGTCACATCCTTGTTCCAAGTTGTTACTACAAGTGCTTCTAAATGTTCACAAGTTAATGCTATACGTTTTGATTTTTCGTTTCTTTCAACGTCGCAAAAATAACTTGAAATAATTTGAATACAACTTGGAATGTTCAATGTTCAAACGTTAAATTGTTATTAGAATGTAATTTCAGCAATGTTTTTTAATCCGGATTTCTATCATATATTGATTTTTTTTTATTTAACCCTTATGTGGCTGAAATAGTACCGGTGTACTAATTCTGTACTTAATGTCTTATAACTTGTTTATATATTATTTTTTGTGCACGAATCTACTTGACATCTCGGAATATATCATTGTCAAAAGATTTTTGCATTTTTAAAATTTTTTCCAGTTTCAAAAAACATGTTGAACAATTTTAAATCTCTTAGTGCGTGACCCAAGTTCTAATACACAAACAGAATATAGAAAGATTATTTTATTAGCAACGATAACCAAACAGTTCAGTAAAAAA